CCCAGTCTGGGCCACAGAGCAAGACCCTGTCTCAAAACAAAACAAAAACATATGGAATATTTTCCAAATGTTTCCTATGGTCTTGAACCTTTTTTAGGTGATCTTCATGGATTAATTAATGTTGCAATTATCTCCTGAGGCAGGTGCTGTGTTATCCAACATTGTACGTGAGGGCTCCAGGGCACTGTGCTGCTCAACCAAGCTCTGAAATCCCTCCCTAAGCAATCAGGCCCTGGGTTCACCTGCACGGCTCATATCCACGGAGGCAGGACCTCATAAGGGGCAGCACAAAACCCTGCAAGGAGGAGAGTCTGCTGCAGGTGCCAGAGGGTGGCCTGCTGATGGGTTTAATCCCACATTGACTCAACTCCATAGACATCAGGGCCTGCCCTGCTTCCCTCCTCCCTCCCTGCCGTTTGGCTTGAGGGTCTACTAGGGATGCCCCCCCCATGCCTTGAACACAGCAGACAAACTCACTGGGTGGTATAGACCCCCGTGTGATTGTCTGTTCATCCCAGCCACCAGAAGCAGCTGAGTTCCTAAGACTTGAGCACATTCTCGAGGAGCCAGACCCATCACGGAGTCTCTCTCTGGCTCCTGAGAGTTTTATCTTCATTCTCTTCTCCTGGCAAATTCTTCCTGGAAACTCTGCTGACTACTTTAAGGCAAACCAAGCCCCTGCTGTAAGTCATACCACGACTACCATTTTAGAAATGGGGAAGGCAGGGCTTAAGCAATGTGCTCAAGGCCACAGGGTGGTCAGGGGCCTCCATTCACACCTGGCCAACCACCCTCCCATCGCAGTCCCCAGATCACGATGACTGATATGGTTTGGCCTTGTCCCCAGGGAAATCTCATCTTGAATTGTAGCTCCCCAAATTCCCACGTGTTGTGGGAGGGGCCTGGTGGGAGATAGCTTTATTATGGGGCAGCTCCCCAATACTGTTCTCATGGTGGCAAATAAGTCTCACAAGATCTGATGGTTTTATAGGGGTTTCCCTTTCCCTTGGCTCCCATTCTCTCCTGCTGCCACCATGTAAGATGTGACTTTCACCTTCTGCCATGATGGTGAGGCCTCCCAGCCACATGAACTGTGTGAGTCCATTCTATCTATTTTTTCTTCCCAGTCTTGGATATGTCTTTATCAGCAGCGTGAAAACGGACTAATATGGTGACTTGTGTGACTACCAAGCTAGTCTGCTGCCCCCTCCCTGGCTAGTGCCCTGTTTGCTCCTAAAAGCCTCGTTTGCTTGCAAAGTTTGTGGTCACCGTCCCCACATATCCTGTAGCCTCTGATGAGGGCCTCCGTGTCAAAATTCCCGCCACTTCCCACGCCTCCTCACCTGGGATCCCCATTCATATCTTAAGATTTCAAATCTCTCTCCATCCGAACCTGTTCGTCCTCCTCTGTGTCCCTAGTCCTTTTAATGTGCCTCTGGGGACATTTCCAAGGAAGCCCAGGAATCAGGACTGGCTCCTCTATCAACTGACTCTTCAGTCCTGCATTCACCACAAGCCACCTACATCTTGTTATTCTTGCCAATAAATAAGGTGGCCAGGTCTGTGAGGACCAAAAAGACCAGAGGGCAAATTATTATGAAAGTAGATAAACATAAAGCATTATGATTGATAATCAACCTTGTAAAAAGCCATTTTCAGACAAATTCAGCATGATTTGACTCATGTGAGGTACTTAGAATCATTAACTTCAAAGAGATGGGAAGGAGCAGGGTGTCTATTAGGGGCTGAGGAGGGAAGGGAGACTTTTACGAAAAGAGAGTTTCAGTTTTGCACCATGAAAACTGTTCCGGAGATGGATGGTGGTGATGGGTTTATCACAGTGGGAATAATACCTCTAGCCACTGAACTGTGTAATTAAAAATGGCTAAAGTGGTAACATTTAACGTTATATGTATTTTAAATGATTTTTAAAAATGAAAATTTTTTTTCAATAAAATATCTCAATAAAATCACTCAAAAGTTCTTGTCAATCTGCTGCATTAACTGCTAAAAATGTGAGCTAGAAATCTACCAGGCAGATTTCCTACACTGCATTTGAAGTGCAATGTAAGTGGCGCACGTGAATCTATTTAGCCAGGTGTCTAGGAAGAAGGATTCTGAGAAGGAAGACTCCAAAAAAGAAGCTAAGGAAGACAATGCAAGCATGTGACCCTCCTTCTGGGCTAAAGAGCTAGGAGAGCACATAGAACTGACAGACCAATGTATCTGTCCCATTAAAAGAATGACTGGAAATGAACAGAAAGTCACTTGGTTTGTGGTATGGCAGAGCTGTGAGTGTGGGAGCCAGTGTGTGCGGCCACAGTGCTAGGGGCCTAAGACTGAAAGTAACTTGTGTTATACTAACAATATTCACAGTTACAGATGTGATGACCTGCAGCAGAACACTGACCTAAGAGAAGCCACTGCCTCCTTTCTGGAACACTGGCCCCATCATAATCAATTGCCCTTGCTAACTACCACTGGTTTCTGGGAGCTTAAAATTCTTTTCAAATATGAACCTAAAATAATATTACATCATCTCATATATTTTATTCATTGCTCCCTCTTGAACAACAGCCCCTTTAGAGACATGTAAAGAATGAATCAACTTCAAGAGACAACAAATATTGACTAGAAAGAATCATTTTAATTACCTAAAGATAGCCAATCAGTCCAGTGCTGAAAAGACTTCAAATCAATTTAGTGCATGGAAATAACTAATAAAATTGTTACAAAGTACTTTATAAATTTAGTGTGTCAAATAAATGGCCTATAATCGGAATAATCATCATTAAATAAAATACTTTAACAGCCACAAGGTGACCATGATGAATCTCTGTCATTTTATCCCCAAGATGGAGGAAAGGAAACACCAGACAGATAAAACTGAAATAATGAGACCTAAGTGCCATTAAGCTGTCGCTTTGAAAGGTAAGTGCTCAGTAAGGGCCAGAATCAAAACAAAAACAAAAACCAAAATTCAAGCAAGACCCAGGAAACTGACTGGAATTTTACTTTATTGGTATGCAATGTCTTTTGTGAGTGATGACAAAGATGCATGATTTTGAGCAATAACTACAGATGATATACTATTCAACAGATAATACTCAACAGACTATTTGCAAACGCTTTTTGAAACAATGTGTCAGGTCTGGGAAAACAGTCAGTGTATATTTTCTAATCTGTTTCCTAACGCTAACTAATTTTCATTACTACCCAATGAAAGCACTCTGGGGAATAAGAAAAATATCTGACATGAGCTGACTTTCATTTCCTTGCTAGAAAACCAAAAATCTGTATTCAAAGAACAGGCCAAAGAAGAAAATACTGCCCCAAATGTATTTTCTTATATATATACACTAAATGTTGTTCATCATTCTTTTTAAGATGTGGGAAGCCATAGGGTCTGGTGAATTAAGCAACAGAGAAAATGTCAAGAGCAATGGAATTGAACCCCAGGCAGATCTTAATAGCTTAGCTAGTTTCTCTACCTATAAAAATCAGGACATTCTTACTGCTGTTTGTGTTAGGTAATTAACAATCATAAAACATGCGGAAAGTAGAAACTGCTAAAGAAATAATGACTGCCAAAGAATTTTTACCACAACGTGCTAAATAATAAGGATAAAACATGGGCTTTTAACTTCACCATTTTTGTTTTCAAATTAATAATGCAAACAAGAGTCCAATCTCTTTAAGATGACTCAGCATAGCGTTAGATAGCAAGTTAAATTTGGTCATTAGAGAGTACAAGAAGGAATCTTGTTTCTTCAAGAGCAGTTCACTCAACCCTAGGTGGAGCTGTGAAAATAAAGCCATGGTCTATTCCTGTAAGCTACAGAAATGTTACCACATTGCCTGTGTCTACACTTTTGTTAATTCCAGACACAGGCCATTCTACTTGAAGACCCACTAAGCAATCAACTTTTTGGGAATTTCCATTTATGTCACATTGATTTTGGAACCCTAAACATCAGTAACGTTTTAAACCATTTTCTGGGAATTGGCGACACAATGGCTGTTTTCCACACTTCTCAATCCCTGGGATGAGGCTGTAGGCCTGCCTCAGAACTTTGCAGGCATTTTACAGTTGCAGAGTGAGTGAAGAAATATCAATGGAGAAGATCTCAGTACTAATTCTGTGACTTTCCTTCTAAATTTTTTAATTCCAAGCATGGTATTGAGTAAGTCCTAAGATTTAAACTATGAACTAGGAGAGCTAACATTGTTTTACTGTTCATATTTGTTCATTTTTTGCAGATACACTTGAAATAACTACTGAGTATTATGAAATCCTAGGGGAAAAAACCCCAAAGAATTATATATCACAGAAAGATTGGAAAGACTTGGAGATCAAATCCATTTTAATTATTTCTCACTGAAAACACACCACCTGGAAAATATGGTTTTCTACTTAAATATAAAGTCTGATCAGGATTCTGTTCACAAAATACACTGTTCTGTGAGTTTTCTTACACCTCTAAATACTCTAGCTATAAAGATGAGTTTCAACATCACTGAACAAACAAGTCTAAATCCTGTTTATTAGACATTTGGGGAGAAAGGCATCCTCCAGGTACTATTTTGAGGAAGAATTAAATATCTGCAGAAGAAACCAAAGTAAAAGATACTGCCACATTAAAATACAAATATACAATTTTGTCCTCATAATATCCAGGACCTCAAATCCCAGTTTTGGTGACTCACATTAATTTAATTGTGACATTTGCTTTACTAATCATAGATGTAAAAAGACCACTGTGTTCCAAACATAATTATCTCACCAGCATCTCATCGCATGAAATTATTAGTTCAGAGCCTCCGAATAAATTTATACTTGATTAGTTTCACTTATTTAAGAACACTGAATAATTTAAGATCTGTTTAAATGAAACAGAAGCAAGGGGACTTCTGAGAAGGGCTGCGTTCCCCCACACCTGCCATCTCAACAAACCCTACATCACTCTCCCCGACAACCGCTACCCTCAGCGAGTACGTACCTTCCAGGTGAAGCCACATCAGCCGCCCCTTCACACTCACAACGGAGGCCACACACAGTTCTCCTGGATTCCTGGGGTTCACAGCTTCCAGTTTCATGTTCTTTGTGAAACCTCGACTGAATGATGTCTGCAAGAGAAACACGACCGACACTGAGCCAGTGCTGATGCAGCCAGACAAAGCTGGGCTGATGAAGAAACAGAAAGAAATGTACACGGATCCTACATCAACAAGACCAGCTTGTGTGAGTGTTTGTTCCTTCCCACCGCTCATGAAGAAAGAACCAGCGGGTCTTCATTTCTTAGAACTATGCCAAGCACACAGTAGGTGCCTAATAATATTTGTTAAACGAGTGAGAGTATGAATTCATTCTCTCTCCAGTTCCACATGCACCCTTCCTTCTATGGGATCACTGACGCACACACCAATTTTTCCACCTCCCTATATCCCTTGATAACAGTTCAAGTGGGTAGATGGAGTTTCCATCCGGCATCATTTTCCTTTAAAGGAAGTGGGAAGAATATCCTTTAAAATTTTTCGTAGTAGAAGGTCAGGCATGGTGGTTCATGTCGTAATTCTCAGCACCGCAGGAGGCCGAGGTGGGCAGATCACTCGAGGTCAGCAGTCCAAGACTAGCCTGGCCAACATGATGAATCTCCATCTCTACTAAAATACAAAAATTAGCTGAGCATGGTGGCACGTGCCTGTAATCCCAGCTACTCAGGAGGCTGAGGCAGGAGACTCACTTGAACCCAGGAGGCAGAGGTTGCAGTGAGCTGAGATCTCACCACCACACTCCAGCCTGGGCAAAAGAGCGAGACTCCGTCTCAAAAAAAAAAAGAAAAGAAAAGAATTTTTGGTAGTTGTGTAGGTCTTTTTGATGATGAATTCTTGTAGTTTTCTTTGATCTGAAGTTATCTTTATTTTCCTTTGGTCTTTGCTATTGACTTTTTAACATCACTTTAAACATTTTTACATAGAGTAAAATTCAGTCTTTTGGGTATATTGTTCTATGAGGGTAAGGCTGTGGGACCAGAGTATTTCATTACGCAGCATTATAACACAACCGACACACAGAACCACTCCTTTGCCCCCTGAATACCCTTGTACCAGGGTCCTTTGGTAATCAGTCCCTCCAAAGCACTCAATTCCTGGCAACCACCAATCTGTTTCCTGTTCCTGTAATTTCCTTTGTGTTTCTTTATATTCTCATTATAAGAAAATTTTCCTTTATATCTACAGTTCTTAAACTTTAGGATCAGAATCCCTGTTTTATTCTGTAAGTCATGTAAATGGACTCACACTATCTGTAGCCTTTCAAGTCTGGCTTCTTTCACTTAGCATAGTGCACTGAGATTTATCCATGCTATTACATGAAATGGAAGTTTCTTCTGCTTTCTTGCTGAGTAGTTTGTACAGATGCACCATAGCTTATCTATCCACTAACCAGTTAAAGGACATTTGAGCTGTTTTCAGTGATTGTGATGAAAGCTGCTATAAACATTCTGGGACAACTTTTTATGTAAACCTAAGTATATTAATCTGCTCAGGCTGCTATAGCAAAATACTATAGACTGTGAGATTTAAGCAACAGAAATTTATTTTCTCATGGTCCTGGAGGCTGAAGTCATAGATCAGGATGTTGGCAGGGCAGGCTTCTTCTGAGACCTCTCTCCTTGACTTGCAGATGTCATCTTCTCTCTGTGTGTCCATGTGGTCATGGCTCTGTGTATACTTAGCAGTCCTAATTTCAGCATGCTTTATGTCTGGTAATTACCTAACATAAACAGCAGTAAGAGTGTCCTGATTTGTATATGTGGAGAAACTAGCTAAGCCATTAAGATCTGTTTGAGGTTCAATCCCCTCTTCTTTTTTTTTCGTTGCAGACAGGGACTCATTCTGTCGCCCAGGCTGGAGTATAGCAGCATGACCTCAGCTCATTGCAACCTCTGCCTCCTGTGTTCAAGTGATTCTCCTGCCTCAGCCTTCTGAGTAGCTGGGACTATAGGCATGCACCACCACATCCAGCTAATTTTTTTTTTTTGTATTTTTAGTAGAGTCGGGGTGTCACCATGTTGGTCAGGCTGGTCTTGAACTCCTGACATCAAGTGATCTGCCCACCTTGGCCTCACAAAGTGCTGCAACTACAGGTGTGAGCCACTGTGCCTGGCACCCACTTTTCTTATAAGGACACCAGTTATACTGGATGAGGGCCCACGCTTAGGACCTCGTTTTATCTCAATTACTTTTTTAAGACAGTATCTCCAAAGACACTCATATGCTGAGGTATTGGGGGTTACGATTTGAACACATGAATTTGGGAGGGGCACAATCCAACACATACCATTAAGTTTGCATTACTCTAGAGATGGGACTGCTGGACCATATGGTAAATGAACTTTTAACCTACTAAGAAGCTGCCAAAATGTTTGCCAAAGTTGCTATGGCATTTTGCATTCTCATGAGCAGTGTAGGAGAGTTTTAGTTGCTACACATCCTCATCAGCACCTGATATTGCCAGTTTTTCAAAATCTTTTAACAGATATCTAGTGGCATCTCATGGTGGTGTTAGCTTGCATTTGCCCTGCTGACTACTGATGCTGAGTATGTTTTCCTGTGTTTTTCTGGGGCATCCATACATCTTCTTTGGTTGTGTCTATTTTTATTCTTATTCAGCCACTTCTTCTGCATCTTCAATTCTCCGTGATAACTGTCCTTCAGATCCTGAAATTCCATCTGTCCTTCATTTCCCTGTCCATTGTCCTCTGTTTTCAGACAGAATAATTTCTATCTTCAAGGTAATGGACTCTTTCCTCTGTCGTCCCCATTAAGTTACTTCAGTGAATTTGTTGATTTCAGATACTGTATTTTTCAGTTCTATAATTTTTCTTTTTTACAGTTTCTACTTCTTCTTAAGGACTTCCTATCTTTCAATTCATTATGAGAATATTTTCCTTTATATCTACAGTTCTTAAACTTTAGGATCAGAACCCCCTTGAAAATCTTTCAGAAATATAAACTTCTGGGCTTCTCCCTAAAGTTTCTGATTCAGTTGATTGCAGGTGGAGCCAGAGAATGTGTATTTATGACAAGTGCCCAGGTGATACTGAGGCTGCTGGTCTCATGACCGCACTTTAAGAACCACTGCTTTACATTACGCTGAGTTACAATGAGGGATTGAAAATACTTGTCTTGTAATTCCAACACCTGGATCATGATGGGTTTAGTCTATGCTTGGTTTAGTCTATGTTGATTATCTTTTCTACTGAGAATGAGGCTGATTTTCCCATTTGTCTTGAGCAATGTGGGAATTAAAGAATGGATATTTTAAATGTTACGTTGTGGAGACTCTAGATTATGCTATATTCCTACCAACAGTGTCGACTTTTCTATTTTAGCAAGCAATCATCTTGGTTAGACTGAAACTTCAGACAGTCTCTTAAGAAGCAGCTCAAATTTCAATTGAGTTCAGCTTTCCTAGGCTGTTTGGAGCCTTCCTGGTACCTACATGATTCAGGGATCACCCCAAAAACCTAGACAGAATTTACACATAGAATCTGGGGTCCTGGCTCTCCCCTGTCTGAGTCTCCTCCCACTTTCCAGGATTGGTGGTTGATCAAATTTTGTAATGTGGTTCATCAGGCGAGAGAGACCATGAATTTTACATCACTTGCTAAGTTATCCCACATGTTGTCAACTGTGGCTGCCCTGAGGTAAAAGTCTGAAAAAATGGGACAATTCCCCCATGCTATTATTCCCTTCTTCTAATCTCCTGTTCCCTTCGAAATATGCCTGCTTTTCTTCATGTTCCACTACCCCCAAATAGTGATTTTGGGTCCTATGTCCAGACTTTAGAGCTGCTCTATCTATGTGCATGTAGAAGGGTTGACTCAGTCTGAGCTTATTCGGCCAATACTGAAAACATTATTTTAAAATAAATATAAAAATTTCCCAAATTGCCAGCTACTATAAATTGTCATCAGACATGTTACAATACTCTGGATCTATATATTTATAGATACCAAGATAAACAGGTTCCTCTAAGTAACAGAGACTACTACTTTTTGTGACTAGTGGAAATAAATCAAGGTAATCCACATTTATATGTCTTTTTCTAAAACTTAATTTGAAAAACACAATTATATCTTTATGTAACCTGAAAAGAAAGTGATCCAATGCTTGTTAAGAAATCAACTGGGTCCATGCCTTTACGTTTCTTTGGAAATAGGAATCAAAGATCTTCTAGGTGGGCTATGTGTTTCTGCAAGTCACTCTGCTTCACCCGTGGCTATTATGTATTGAGCTTCCTTCTGAAAATACAACTCCATCAGCCACTTGAAAAGCCTCCAAATAAGTTAAAATGCATTTTATCCTTCTTAACAAAGGAATGCTTCAACCACATAACCTATTTTCATTTCAGGCCACCGCTTGAGGGTAATTTATAAAGGATCAATAGCAAAACTGTTACCTGTGAGTTTATTTACCAAGCATTTTACTGTGTCGATCCCTTTCGTAACAGCCTCTGTTAAACATCTCTGGGGAAATGTCTTCCATGCATCCAATTCCACACTAGCTCTCCTCTAATACACAGGAGATGGGTGATTAAAAAATGAAGTCGTAATATGGATTCCATTAAGGAGCACTTGTAGCAAGCTAACAAATTCAGCAAAGCACCACCAATGCCATGCATACATCAACAATCCTGTCTATTACATAAACAGAGCGACAATCCTGTTACATAACCGGAGCACCAGAAACAAAGGCATTCCTATGCCCACAAATTCATCCAAACAGAGAGCACCTTGATAGCCAAATCCCGAAAACTCAGAAGCCACCTGGGAATGTGGTGCCTTGCTCTACCATTCAAACCCATGTGGACAACTCCTGGCTGTGAATGGGAAGAGAGGGCGATAAAAAGAAGCTATAGTGGGACTCTGTTGTCATAGAAGAAATCACTCTTTAAATATAGAATGAAAGGGAGAGATAAGGTTTTTCTTCCAAAGGCTAATGATCCGGGGAAGGAATATTTCTCTTTGTACCTTGTCAGGTACAAAGCACAATCTAGAAGGGGTTTTAGGGTGCTACAAAATGTTTCCACGGCCCTAAATGAAAGCAGACAAGCCAGCAGATTCTGTGACTGTGACATCAATATGGTGAGAAGTCAAGACAGCGCAGGATGTCAAAGCTTTCAGAGTTCACCAGCTGTGGTCTTTGTTGGGGCACAGCTACGCAGCCAGGCCTGTCACCTAAACACACGCCACTCGATTCTTCAAGATACAGAGAAACTACTCTTGTGCAAGGCAACATCATTCAGTGGCAATCCCGGGGAGAGCCAAGACCGGGAACCCCAAAAATTCGATGTGTAAATTCTGCCTAGATTTTTGCGGGCTCCGTGGATCATGTAGGTGCCAGGCAGACTCCAAGAAACCTAGATAAGGCGAGAACTCAACTGAGATTTGAGCTACTTCTCAAGGTGGTTCAATCACAGAAGGGATCCTTGATTTCCAACCTTGCTGCTGACGTGCTTCTGTACTTACAAGTACCAGCTGACCCAATCAGCAACCTACTGAATCCTCCGAAATCTGATTTTGACTTACACTGACTTTTGAACTTCTGTCTATTCAGACACTCCTTTCTCGCTTCATTTTTCATATTGTTATGTGAAGTGTGCAATGACAGGTGCAGTGGGAACGAACCTGCAGCTCTCGGAGTGCATGCTCAGCAAACAAGTCTCTGACCTGCACGTGCTTTGCACTGCTGTTACAGACCTCAATTAAGAGGAGACTATAATCTTTTTGTCTTAACATAAATTAACTTTCCTAACTGAAAGTACATTGAACACAGTAGACTATACATTTAAGCCTAATTCTTAAAACAGAGGTAAATGATGTCTCTACTCACAATTCCTAGGGTTGATGAATTATTGATAATTTTGTAAACTACAGTCATCATGTACCGCATAGTGACGTTTCAGTCAATGATGAACTGTGCATACAATGGTGGTCCCGTACGATTACATGGTTATGCCATGCAACCTAGGCTATGTGGTATAAGCTATACCATCCAGGCTGTGGATGAATCTCAAAGCTATAAGTAGGATAGGCTATGCCATCTAGGCCTGTGTAGGTACAAAGCACACTCTATGACATTCACGTAACAATGAAGTGGCCTGATGATGCATTTCTCAGAATATACCCCCATCATTAAGCAACGCATGACTGTAGTTTATAAAATGACCTCCTATAGTGCTGTAAGTACATGCATGTGCACACAAACACACACACACATGCTCATTGCTACTTTATGTGCCACAAAAATCCTATTACTATGTTCCAATAAGCTCTATATGAACAGGTAGTAGCTTAAAGTAAGCAAAGTACACAACTTACTAGCACCTTACTGGACATCAAAGAAAGTACTAAAGCCATCAAAATAAGTAAGACTGTATTTTAAGACTAGGCCTCAGGAGCAAAGGCTCTCCTCTCCGTGGGCTCGTGGATAAGACGCTACACAGCAAGTGTTCCTCCAACAGGCACAGGAGGCCAGCCGTCCACCAAAATGCGTCCTCTTCCCCCCAGAGTCCAGAATCGCAGCTGAACAGCAAGCCCCGGCAGGACCCACTTCCTGGCCTCACCTGTGACCTGGTGCAGCCAAGCGAGGAGCTCCCAGCAGTGGAAAGTAAAGAGTAGAAACATACGCTGCTATCAGGCTGCGGTCTTTAGAACCAGCGACACTTTCTCCTTCATCTCTTTTCCTTCTGCTGGCTAGGTTACTCACCATGATGAGAACCACCTACTAATCAGGAAAACCCTGGGCTCTTCTGTAAGTGAGACTTGGCCATCACCCTTTAGCATGTTCCAGCCACTGTGCATTTATTAGTCAATTTGTTAGCACAGACCAGCATCACCCTAGCAAATGCACAACCTGAAAGGAGGGCTTTCCAAAAACTACATTTTGTAGTTCTCCAGTGCACGGTAATACTCCAACCTTGCTTCACCAATAAAAAGCAAGTTATAAAACTTATGATAAACAAAATCTATGATTTGTTAAAATTAGGTAAGAGAGAAGCTTCTTACATTTCGGAAGCAGAAGGGAGGGGCTTCCTGCGCCCCATGCTGCTTGTGATAATCCGCCCAGTCGAAGTCCTGGCCAGAGTAACCTGCAAATGACAAAACACAGATAAAATAGCATAAATAAAGCAAAATACCAGACGGATGAGCAAAATCAGAAGGGGTGCAAGTTTAGGCCACCAAAAGATAATGTCCTCTGATGCCTAACAGTGCTTCAGGTTCCATAAGTTCAGATGAAATATTCTGGAAAAAATAAAGTACTCAACACAGGTAAAAACAGAACAAAACAAAACAAAACAAACAAAAAAAACATCATTAGTATAACACAGTATCTGAAGCCAGGTGCAGAATGGTGGAACTCACCCGCGGCAGCTCCTGCCAGTGGGGGATTTGCCATAAGGGAGAAGAGCTAAGCCAGGATATGACACGAAACACATTCTCACCACTCACTGTGCAGAAATAGATAATGACATCTCCCTTCATGGGAAACCTGAGGTCATGGGAGCTTACTTTTCAGTGTCTTTATGGAAAACGTGAGGTTTTATTGGGGAAAACTAAACAAAACAAAACAGTACCAGGGAGGACTTTTTAAAAAGTAACAGAAGGTAGAGAATAGGGCAGCAAAGAGTAGAGGGCTTGGAGAGAAAGCCCCCAGAGAAATGAGGGGAGGGGAGGAAGGCAAACGTCACCCTGGGGCTGTCCTGCTGAGGCTGAAGAAACCTCAGAACTGCAGGAGGCAGGCCTCTGCTGGAAGCTCTGGGGTAGTTTGCAAATACAGCGAAAGGCATCTGAACAAAACTGTTCATGCACACTGAATGTAACCAAACACAGAGCCCACTAAAGTAGCTTTTTTCTTTCTTTCTTTATATTTACTTCATTTGGAGGGGGGAAGATGCAACTACATAAATGTCCACCACGAGCACAGCAAGACAGGAAAATAGGTGAGAGAATAGAGGTCTGAATTATACGTAAGAAAGGCATAACCCAGGGAGGAAAATGCCTCTTAATGGGAGTCTGCTCGGCAAAATCAAACCAATGAACAGACAAGGAAAAGGGAGTATGGTGTTAAGATCTTTCAGTAAACAAGCAAAGGAAATACAGTCCAGCTGTGATTAACTGAAGCGTGTAAATGTCCCTCATATTTTTATTTATGGTGCTCTCTACTGAAACCTACGTAAAGTAAATCTATAGGGGATTTCTTATGTTTTTTATCTAAATCCCTCAGTTTCTTTTCCCCATATTATCACAGATTGTATGAGTGCAAATTATTTGTTTATTTATTTATTTTTTTGAGACAGAGTCTCACTCCGTTGCCCTGGCTGGAGGGCAGTGGCATGATCTCAGCTCACTGCCACCATCCTGGTGAAATCCAATAGGATTTCACCGTGTTGGTCAGGATGGTCTCCAACTCCTCATCTCATGATCAGCCTGCCTTGGCCTCCCAAAGTGCTGGGATTACAGGTGTAAGCCACCATGGCCAGCCTGGAAATTCTTTATTTAAGAAACTCAACATACTAAAGATACTAGTTGCTTCCACTTACATTCCCGAGCAAAAAATAGGAATTATCTTCATTAAGCAAGCTCAATATATCCTATTTTTTTTAAGATGGGAGGGTGAGGGTTAACCAAAAAAGCAGCTGTCTTTCTCTGGTCCCAGAGACTGACCCGTGACCTTCCTACATCCTCTTGACCATCAGTGGCAGGTCCCCTTCTTTCTTAAGACAGCTGTTTCATTCTATAAAGACTGACAATTCTTTCCAGCCACTTTCAAAGAGGTTTTTTGGAGTTCTTCCACCTGCCCTTTCTCTTGCCGTTCTCTCCAAAGCTCCCCTCCAGCTACATGGCTCTTGCATCAGAGGTTTCTGGACAGGACCAAAGCCAACTTTCTTCTGAACCTTTTTAAACACAACGAAACACATCTCACAAACAAGGTAATATAACGTGAGTTTCTCTACACTTAAGAAAGCCCTCCATGTTGCGCACAGTTTCTCTGCAGCTGTCTGGATCAGAGCCTCACATTACTGTAGAAGAATTAGCCTCAAGACATGTCAAACAGAGAAGTTTCCTAAGAAGACAAAGGGCCCAGAACTAAAGAAGAGGATATCTGGGTTTAAGACCCAGCTCTGCCAGTAATGGGATGGACCCAGCAATAAGTAGATTAAATCTGCTGTGCCCACTTTCCTCATCCACAAGTTCACAAAATAAAGAGAAAAGCATCCGGGCGCGATGGCTAATGCCTATAATCCCAGCACTTTGGAAGCCCGAGGTAGGCAGATCATGAGGTCAGGAGTTTGAGACCAGCCTGACCAACATTGTGAAAACCCATCTCTAATAAAAATACAAAAATTAGCCGGGCATGGTGGCTCATTCCTGTGATCCCGGCTACTCAGGAGGTTGACACAGGAGAATTGCTTGAACCTGGGAGGCAGAAGTTGTAGTGAGCTGAGATCGTGCTACTGCACTCCAGCCTAGGAGACAGAGCGAGACTCTGTCTCAAAAAATAAATAAATAGAAAAGCTTTTAGGTCCCTCTGCTATTGCATTCTATGACTCAGACCCACCATTACTAATTATTTTACTTTTGCTACTGAGGACTTTTTCCCCCAACTCTCCGTGGTTAATTCCCTTCTCTGCTCCTAGAAGAAAAGCGTCATGTGGCTGGATAAAGAGCAGTTACCTAACAAGGCATTCCTCTAAGAAGACCTCATGACTCCATCCGTGAAGACAACTCTCTGTAACACAATGATCCCGTCTGTCTGGGGTTTTGGAAGAGGGACTTTGTTAAAGTCAAGATCTCCAACTTGGAAGTCACTGCTATTCCCTACACAGAGACATTAAGCTGTGCTTTCTATAGCTAACTTCTAATGAGCATCAACCCATCCTATAAAATGTCATGTCCTGTTTTCTTGGACCTGCATTCAAGCCTTCCATGTATTCATCCATTCCTCCACACTCTGTCTGTGGACAGCCATTTCTAATCTGATCATTTCTAGGTAAAACCAAGTCTTGCTGGGTATGTTCGAAGCAACAGTTAATTTTTCTGCCTCTAGAACACACTCATTTCCCTGACATTCAAACAGCTAAGACTCCTCCTTCCCCTCCTCCTCCTCTTCAGGACCTTTACTCACTTCATCACTTAAAATTCTTTTTTTTTGGGCTGATAATGAGCTGTCTTTGTCAGGCAGTTTTGTGACAGCTCAGAAAATAACTGCGACATAAAAACAAATTGCTGTGGATTGTGTAATAGAGACGACAGGGTCAATTATACTCATTAATCAACGAAGACAGAACAAAAAGTACCAAGGCTTAACTGTGGCCAGGAAAACATGTTTTAAACCTGGAGGGAGGGAAGAAAATAGCAGAGGGGAGAAGAAAATGAAAGAAAATGAAACCCCTTAGGCAATTAAAATTTGCAGCAAGCTGCCCTGAGAGACTGTTGAACCACAACCATTAGATTTATTTAAGCTTTTATTAGTGTTTATTCTGAATGAAGTTCCAACCCTTACAGGTCCAGAAGGGAAGAGGTTGATGAGCCATTTCCCTCAGATACAAATTAATTGACATAAAACAGCTCTATTTGCACACATTATTATTGGCAATGCACATGGATAATTCTTTGGAAAAACTATTTGGCCATAAAAAAGTTCCTGCCCTTTGACAAATCCATTTCATTTCTGGGAACTCATCCCATAAAAATGACCCCAAGAACTGAAAAAGGTGTTGTACATGAAGACGCTTATGGCATTATGATTGGTAATACTGGAGAAAAAAAAAATGAAAAAAACCTTCTGTTTAGTAACGGGAAATGACCTGAGACTTCTCCAACTATGTGGAATGCTGCACAGGCATGAAACTGCAAGCAGTTTAAAAAAAAATCATAAAAAATAACTGCTATAGCTTTAAATGAAAAGACTGCTATAAATACACACAGAATTATTAGATTTGTATAAAAATATGCAAAGATGAAGACCAGAGAAAATGTACAAAAAACTTAATAATAAATATTACAATACTTGTTTGGTGGTAGGACTCTTGGCTACTTACTTTCTTCTTTGACATCTTTGTATTTTTAAGTTTTCAACAGTGATCATAAAATATCAATAAAAAATTATGTTAAAACATAGAATCTTTGTTCTATTTTAAATGATAATTAAGGCATCGGTTGATCAACCCCTATTCAGCACACGGAATACGCCATGACTGCCTCCCCTCAGCCTTCCCCCAGCTTTACATTTGCCACTAGAATCCTGACTTTATCCAGTTCCTGGAGAAAGTGAATTAGGAGAATCTTCAGACACTCATGGTGGGTATATGCCCCTTTTTGGAGGCTTAAGACAGGGGTAGGGGAAGAGTTTACAGAAAAAAAAATTCTCCCTCTAACAAAAGAGATATGCAGGAATAAAAACTCTTCTATCCTGAGTGACTATGAAAAAAACATATACGATCTTACTAAAAAACAAAAATAGCAAAGGAATATCATGTTTGCTATCTGCCTGGCTGGCAAAATGAAAAACAACACTAAGAATCCACCATTCTAAAGGCTGTTAGAAAGCAGGTACTCATGTGTTTGTGGTTGGAGTGTAACTTTAAAAACCTACCGTCGATGTCAGTTCAGTAACCTGTCAAAGTCCTCAGGAGCGCGTCTGTCCTCCAGCCCAGCCAAGAGTTCATGCATACACTCACTCATTCAAAACTCCTGCCCAACTGCTGGGTGCAGGGCAAGGGAACCAAACCGACAAAAATCCTAACTCTCCAAGCTTACATTTCGGGGAATAGAGACAGGTAAGGCACAAATCTAAAAAGTCAGATGATCACAGGCGTCATAGAGAAAGTGGGCAGGGCACATAAGGAGAGCTGCCCTTGCACACAGAGCTCAGAAGATGAGTGCTGGGCAAAGGTGTGGAGGAGCTGAGAAAGCCAGGCATGCAGCAAGCCAGAGGCAGAGAGTTCAGGGCCAGGGACCTGCAACTGCAGAAGCCCAGGGGTGATTCTGGATGGCTCCAGGGTCAGCAAGAAGGACTGTGGGGCCAGAGCAGAAAGGCAGGTGTGACCGGAGCAGGAATTCCATTCTGAAGACGACAACGGCACAA